AGTCGGTTTATTTCAAAATTAGCCCTGACTTGTGAACCACAATTTGATCTCCTGAAGAAAGGAAAGAAATTCCAATGGGGTGACCAATGTCAGTTTGCTTTTGAGCAGATCAAGCAGTACCTTCAGAACCCACCCGTGTTGTCGCCGCCAAAGCCGAGGAAGCTGTTGATTCTGTATCTATTAGTAACAGACACAACAATGGGATGCATGCTTGCTCATGAATCTAAAGATAGAGTGGAGAAAGCCATCTATTACCTGAGTAAGAAGATGCTGGATTATGAGACCCGTTACACTCCGCTCGAGAAGACTTGCTTGGCCTTGGTACGGGCTACCAGGAAGTTGAGGCACTACCTATTAGCTTACTCCGTAATTCTGGTTTCGAGATTAGATCCTATCAAATATCTTTTCGAGAAACCAATGCTTACGAGTAGGTTAGCTCGTTGGTTGCTTCTTCTCTCCGAATTTGATTTGAAGTATGTTACTCGCAAGTTTGTTAAGAGGAGAGCGGTAACAGAGTTCCTGGCAGATCACCCAGTGGAAGGGGATGGAGCTGTAGAATATCTGTTCCCAGATGAAGCTATTCTGCAAATTGAGGAAGAGATTTAGACAATGTACTTTGATGAAGCGTCTAACCAGTATGGTTATGGGATAGGGGTGTTGCTGATAGCACCCGATAATTCCCATATACCTTTAGCCTTCAAACTCCGGTTCAAGATATCTAATAATGAAGCAAAATACGAAGCATGTATCGCTAGTTTGGAAGCTACCCTGGAAGTAGGGGCACAAAGGTTAGACGTTATTGGGACTCGAACCTGGTTATGTCTCAAGCAAAAGGAGACTGGAAGGTCAAAAAGAAAAGATGAAGATCTATCACCAGACCTTGGACGTTCTGATTCCTAGGTTTGATAAGTTAACCTTCACGCATTAACTAAGAGAGAACAACATCTTCGCTGACAACTTATCAACTCTATCTTCCATGATAGACATCCCGTTGGGAGTCTGGATGCGTCCGATCATCATTGAACTGAGATATGCGCCGGCCTACGAGTTGATAGCCGCAATAGATAAAGTGCAAGATCAAAACCCTTGGTTTTATGGTATTTGGAACTTCTTGGAAAAGGAGGTTTATCTACTAGGGACAAATGCCAAAGATAAAAGGGCAATACGGCAGATGGCCGTTCAATTTATCATCTGCGGGGGTAAGTTGTATAAGAGGGGTTATCTGGGGATGCACAACCTGTGTGTTGACGCAGAAGAATCAAAGCGCCTAATGGAGGCCATTCATGGAGGAGAGTGTGAAGCACACATAAGCAAAGTAATGTTAGCCCAGAAGATTCTCAGGCAAGGTTACTACTGGTCTACCATGGAGGAGGATTATATTGGTTTCGTTCGGTGATGCCACAAATGCCAAATTCATGTCAATCGCATGAATATCCCGCCATTGAAGCTATACAACATAACTTCACCATGGTCTTTCTCAGTCTGGGGAATTGACGTCATTGGGGCAATTACACCGAAAGGGTCAAATGGGCACGAGTACATTCTGGTGGCAATTGATTACTTCACAAAGTGGGTGGAAGCTTAGTCTTATGCAGTGTTGAAATCAGTGCATGTGGCTAAGTTCATCCGAAACAACATCATTTGCCGTTATGGAGTCCCAAATGAGATCATTTCAGACAATGACTCACATTTCAAGAAAGAAGTGATAGACTTGTTGAAGATATAGAATGTGACTTTTCATAAGTCATCTACATATCAGCCGCAAACCAACGGAGCTGTTGAGGTCGCCAACAAGAACATCAAGCACATTTTGCAAAAAATGGTTGAGACCTACAAGGATTGGCCAGAAAAATTGCCATTTGCTCTCTGGGGCTACAGAACTTCAATTCGGACATCTACTGGGGCAACTCCGTATTCTCTTGTTTATGGGATGGAAGCTGTTCTACCGATAGAAATAGAGGTTCCATCACTATGGGTTATGACTGAGTGTCAGATCGTAGAGGCGGATTGGCAGCAGAGTAGGTTCGAAGAACTAATGCTGTTTGATAAGAGAAGGCTAAAAGCACTGCACCATGTTCAGGGTTATCAACGCAAGATTGCCAGGGCTTTTAACAAGAAAGTTAAGCCTCGGAATCTTAAAGAAGGGGATTTGGTATTGAAAGACAACCGAGCTCCCATCCATGACTCTAGGGGCAAGTTCAGACCCAATTGGATTGGTCCTCACATCATCAAAATTATTTGGTCGGGTGGAGCTATTATTCTTATGGACCTGGATGGCCTAGAATTTTCCAAACCGATCAACATGGACAAGTTGAAGAAATATTACCCCTGAGAGGCTCGTTAGGCCGAAAACCCGGAAGGGTGACCCAGGCAAAAGTTAGAGCACACAAAATTGGAAAAAAGAAAAACTGAGCTCGCAAGGCTGAAAACCCAGAAAGGGCGGCCTTGGCAAAAGTTAGAGCGCAAAAGGAGAGCGTTAATACTCGAGTGAACCAGAATCAAACTACGTAAGGCCTGATTCCCATCTTCGGTATACGTAGGCAACTTCATTCTGAAGCTCGGCCATAAACAACTCCAAATCAACTGTGTCCATGTGTTTGATCAAGGCATCTTTGTCTATTCTTTATTTGAAGTTCGGTTATGATCCCTACTCTGAGAGAAGAGCTGGTTACAATGCTGAGCAGTGCTATTCAGACAAGGGGCTATTTTCCATCTTTGAATTCAGAGTTGTACATCTCAAGGATAGATTCCATGTGTGTCAAGTTGTGATCCTTATCGAAAATGGTTTTGAAAAGTTTTGATAAAAGTTGATTTTTGTTCAAATTAATCCTTTTACAACTTAGACCATTTTTGGTCCAAATTTTTTTTTTTAGTGCTCACAACTTCAATTTCATTAATTTCAATACAAAGTTCTCCAACTCTCGATACAAATCAAAGTTGCTTTTATCACATGCATAAAACTTGGAAAGTAAGATCAAAGCAAAAAAAACATGGCGCATAGATGAGTCAGGTGTTCCTACGTCCTCTCCCTATGCTTGTGGAAGCTTCTAATGCTAAAGTGGACTCAGTTTGTGCCTCATCTTCAAGCCAAGTCAAGCACTTGCCAGAAAGAGCACAGTTGAAATTAGGGGTAGGAGCCATAAGTTCTCTTGTCCTCCAAGCAATGAGGTACCTGGCCAAATATGTGCCTCGGACGGGGAATGAAGCTGGGTGTGCCAGAAGTTCTCTTGTCCTCCAAGCAATGAGGTACCTGGCCAAATGTGAACCTCGGATCGGGAAGGAAACTGGATACTCTATCCCCTCCTCTAGGTGGGTTTGATCATGCCCAAACTGATGTCTGAACCAGAACGGGAAGTAGAACACACAGTGTGTGAGGCCAATCAACTGTATGCTAGGCTGCTGAGCCATGTTGTAACTCATCTCGGTCAGATTAAGCCAGGGACAACACCAAACTATGTCAGCAGCAGACCTGTTGCACATCCAGTCGCACCACCACCCCTCGTTCGGGAAATCCACTAGTTGGTGGCAGAAGAAATAGCCTCAAGCTGAGTACTTAGGGCAAGAGTCACTACCTTCAGCTTATCCATAAGCCACACTTGGGGAGGAATGAAAGAAAAGAGAGATTAAAGAATAGAGAGATGTATGTTAAGAGAAAAGTGAGAAAAGGGCTTTGAGAGAAAAACAGAGCATGAGTGCCGAGAGATGTGAGAAACACATATGAGAAAGGGTGAGAGACATTACCTGAAGAAGTAGTCGACTCCCCGCGAATCTGGTAGTCTCCCGCTGATGAAAGGCGTCTAAGCCCATCAAGGTCATGGCCAGCACCAAACCAATATAACTCTTGCCTTCTCTCAAACCTTGGGCCACTTCGATCAAACGAATGTTGGACCCTCCAAAACTAAGGGCAAGAAGTAAATGAGCCAGCATACATAAGCAGAGGGCATGTTGTCGAAAACGTCACCAAAGAAAATCGCCTCGGCTACTAATGTCGAAAAATCGATGGATCAAACTGAGTATGTTTGGCTCTCCGTTGTGGGCCATAGATCGAGCCACGTGCAAACTAAGCCAGCACATCTGTCCTAAAGCTTGGGCGTGGCCAAAACGGGGTTGCAGTATGATTTCCTCATCGCACCGGGATTCCATTAGCGCCTGAAATTCTTCAATTGTCGGCCATATTTCTTGTCCCTCGAAGCCAAAGATATGTGTAATCGGGTCCCAACATCTAGTCGCGACATGTAGGAATGGAAAACAAAGTGGAGTTTGGCTCAACGAAAAAAGTGCATTTATGCCGAAACCCGAAAATCTACCTTTTTTGAGCCATCTAAAGCAGCCAGCCAATCCGAGATCTTTTCGGTGAAAAATGGCTCAATTTGTTAAGAATTTGCAGCTAAAATAAAGTTCTGGAGAAGAATTCACGAAGCTCAACCTTTTGTAGAAGATAAGGCAGTGAGTAGAAGCCAGCTGTCAGCAATCTGGCCATTCTCCCATTTTGTGGCTAGCAGGTGGTTGGCAAGTTCAATTCCTGGTCGGCAGCCTTCCTTTCAGGCTTGCTGTTGTAGACACCCCATTTTTGACCGTCCTCAAGACTTGGATGTTCTTGCAGGGTACATTCAGCAACAAGTTTGATTGCTCGTCGAGAGCTCAACTTTCGCAACGGAATGCTCCAGGTTTGATCTTTCCAGACCCTATTTCAGCCCAGGAGGCCTCTACCTCTCCCCTTTTTTCCTTTTCAATAGAACATCTTTTTTATCAAAACAATGTATAAGATGTTATGAGTTGTATTTTACAACTTGCAGCATGGCTATGTTAAATTAGCAAAATGTAACCTAATTATAGATACAATCATAACTTGATACTCAAATATGTTGACAATATTTGTTGCATACAAGTAAAGGTGCATCTTTCATGTGGAACTATTTCAGTTCATTATAAAATGATCAAGATAAATGCACTGCAAGTCAAAAAGATCAGAAAGGAGAGAACGTGTTGCAAAATCAGTCTTTTAGAAGAATGCACAATCCACTAAAAACCAGAAGAAAGAAACAAATAATGGTTTTTCAAAAAATATATATATATTATTAGAGTATCACCTCATTAAAGTATCTTATCAGTAGATTCTTGGTGACCCTCCCAATGCCAGCACCACAATCTACAGGAGTTTTAGATAACATTAAAAATTAACAATTGCCAAGATATCCACCAATCAAGTATAAACTTTCCAGATAATTATGTATATCATAACGATAATTTAAACTAAAACTTAAGTATATCATTTGAACCAAAAGATAAACCTAAATGGATCTTCCTTTTGGAATTTACTGAATCTCTTTGCATACTTGATCCATCTAGTTGTGGTAGTGATTAACTCACTAGGCTGTTGAGCTCATTATTTTCTTCTATGTTTCACAGATTTTGACAATTAAAGCTTTGTGGGACCTTTTATGGGGGGTGATGAGAGTGGAGGACAATTGAGAATTTCATTCAGATTAGTAGACTGCTTCTATGTTATGCTCCACCTAAACGGAGCTATGGAATTGTAGCTGAGACCTTAACATTGTAAAAAATGACTTTTTGAGTTTTTCCTCTTGCATGTTGTGGATTATAAATGAACAAGTTTTCTAGGAGCCTTGCATGCTTATATGACCAAGTCTTGTGAGTGTGCAACGTCATCACATGTTAGCTGGTTTGGGTTGGAGGCGAGACATCCTTACTAAGGAGCTATTATTTGAACAAAAAAGATTTACATTCATCATTCACCAAATACCCACACACCAAAAAAAAAATTAGAAAATCGAATATCTTACACTTATATCTTTCTTTTGAATTATACCAGCGTAGAATTTATCAGTTCTCACAAAGTTCACTGACAACTATAACGGTATTACAAACGCAAGCATATACATAGGTAGAGTAGAGCATAGTAGCCTTTTTCTTACCTAGCGCAACAAGATGCCGGTTTCTTCCACCGTCTGGGAATCGATCAGACAAAAGGGTATTGAGAAATGCCTCACTAGATTTGATATCTGGCTCGTTGACATGCCCATATCCACCTAACACACCATCCACAGACGCCTCCACACTCTTTTCTCCCAAAACAACACAACCGCACATAAAATAAACCAATTAATAACATACAAATACATACATGTAGATACATACACATATAACTAAGTAAAAAATTGATACATCACATATACACACTTGTATATACCTATATGTGTGTCAGAATTAGAACAAATAGAATAAGAATTTGTACGGGTTTAACTAGAAGAAGGGTTTTAAAGGTTACTCACTTCCCAATAACCAACGCCTTTACTGTACCATTCAGACTTCTTATGGAGGTCTCCTACCTCTTCCCTCCACATGTCCTCTGCATTCTTGAATTCTCGGCCATCAGAATCAGACCCACCGACCTCCATCTTACTGAACCCACGCAATCTCACTCTCACTCGCTCTTGCTGGCACTCTCTATTAACTCTAGTAAATAACCGTGCCTGTGAAAGTGAGACCAACTTGAGAACAGAGAAACTAGCAGCAGCAGTATAATAATCATATTTTTTTAATATATTTTATTTATTATTCTTTGTATCAATTCACACAATTCATGTATATTTTACCAATATAATGGTGACACATAAGATTATAAATAAAATATGGTCATCATAGTATTATTGTGAGAAAAATTATTGAATACGTACACAATACCAAGTGGCATTGTCATTTGATACCCTTCACCAATTACCAATTTTATCCCTATACTGTTAGACACAGCACTAACATAATATAAGGGCTAATTGTGACAATTGCAAAGACCCCCTTTGTGGTTTCTGAAATAACACTGTTCTCCCTGATTTTTTTTCTTACAATATGTATGAAGCTCCCCTCTGTTAACTCACCATTCAACTGACCAACAGAATCTGGTGGGGTCAGCTAATTTGACTATTTAAGTACCTAAATTACCCATTTTCTTAACATTCCAGAGACCAAAATACCCTTGCCTTGCATTCAACACATTTATATACACACAGATAGTGTGAGAGAGAATTTAGTTAGATGAAATTTACATCAAGGAAGCAACAATATTTACAAAGTAAATTAGAAAGAAAGAAAGAAAAAAAACATTAAATTCTTATTTAGCAAGAATTCAAGATCAAATGCAACCAGAACTAGAAAGTACAAGGTTAGAGAGATCAGGAAAGCAATTGGGTTGGCATCAATTAAAATTATATACCTAAATATCTACAATTACCAGTGGCCCCAATTCCATATATGTGTGTGTCAGTGGTTAACTGGGAAATGCATGGATACCATCACCAAGATTTCACCCACTCAACAAACTACCATTCACTGCCAAACTATTCAATGTAATGTAAGCATAATTCAATGGAAACAAAAGGTTAGTATGTAGCAAAAGAATATTTTTGTTACACCTGCAACAACCTCATTTAAACATGAAGAATTTGCAAAATTGTTCATATGTTTTAAAAAATCAGTGGATCATTCATAACTTAATAGAAAGAAGAAAACAAATCATTACAAAAATCATTTTAAAAAATATTACACTTCCCAACTCATCATCTTGTTTCCAATATTTCCAAAATCATTGAGAGGGTTGGCACCTGGATTGTTGTAGAAACTCCCTGGGCATCTCTTCTACCAACAACTCCAGGGTTCATATCACCACTAGAAACAACAATCCAGCCACACCTGTGAAGATTTCTCAAATTGGGTCTCTGGATATACATATGTAGCTACCCCCTCTTATGCTCCTCTACCACATAAGCACAATCAAGTATATAAACACACATATATATATCGTGTATATCTATTATATTATAGAAAGTCAACTCTTGAGTTGGTGCAGATGAAGCCGGATCATGCTACCCTATCTAACTCTTTAATTGGTAACTACCATACCTAACTTATTTACACACGTAGTGTGTGCCAGTACTTCTAGTAGTTAATAAACTGATCCGAGAAACTGAGATTAACATTTTCAAAAAACTAGAGCTTTGGTTTCAAAATACAGTATTTGAAAATAGTTTTTTTATTTTAGAATATTTACTCCAAAGCCCTACCCCATTTTCTCGTACTCCAAAGGAAACTTGCTCTATTCTATCTGAGATTTTGGGCGATAGTGGGTCAGCAGGTGATTACAGCTATCCTTGGAATTTTGAATTCTTCCCAAGACATATCAATGGCAAATCACAACTATATAGTTTTGGTTCCAAAGGAGAAAACCCACGGAGGATGTCAAATTTTAGACCAAACATCCTTTGCATCATGGTATAAAAAATTGTCAGCAAAGTTCTTGCAAAATGCGTAAAACTTGTGCTTACATCTATTATATCAATTAATCATAGTGCTTTTATTAGGGGGCCGCCTTAATACTAATAACATGCTTATAGCCTTTAAAGTTTTTCACTACATGAAATTAAATAGGAGCGGTAAGGATGGACACTTTGCATTGAAGATTGATATGAGCAAAACATATGAGTGGTCGTTGTGCAGGGCACAATGGAGAAGCTAGGTTTCAACCAAAGTTTCATTAACGTTGTCTTGCATTGTATTACATTTGTATCCTATTTAGTGCTTCTTAATGGGGTCCCAACGAGAACTTTTCATCCAACCTGGGGGTTTCGGCAAGGTGACCCTTTATCGGCGTACCTTTTTGTCCTTTGTGCAAAGGACCTCTCTTCACTAATTATGAAAGTGAAAGCTAACCAAAGACTTACTAGTATTGCCATCTGTAGGGATAGTCCTCATTTGTCACATCCCTTTTTTGCTGAGGACAGCTTATTGTTTGGTAGTGCAACGATGGATGAGAATGTAGTGGTGTAGGAGATCCTTCAAATGTATGAGCATGCCTCGGGACAAAAAGTTAATTTGGGTAAGTCCTCAATCTGTTTCAATAAAGTGTCAATATGGTTGTGCCAGATGAGATTAGAGAAGATTTGGAGGTGGGTGTCATGGTTGAGTTGGGGAAGTATTTAGGGAAACCTTACTTTATTAGGAGGAATAAGAAGGAGGTGTTTCACTATGTGAAGGATCGAATCTAGAATCGAATGCATGGTTGGAAGGACAAGTTTCTTTCAGCAACTAAATTTGAGATTCTAATTAAGGTCATGGCGCAAGCCATCCCACGTATGTCATGTCTTGCTTCCAACTGCCTGATACATTATGCGGGGAGATTGACTCAATCATTAGCCGATATTGGTAGGGCCAAAGGAGGAGAAGAAAAATCATTGGAAGTCCTAGGCAGCTATGCGCTATCCTAAATGGTTAGGAGGAATGGGAATAAGGCAATGTCAGCAAAGCAAGGGTGGAGATTGATTTAGTATCCGAATTCCCTGTTCACATGAATTATAAAGGCTACATACTACCCGCACTCAAATTTCTTAGAGGCAAATTTGGGGTCAAATTCATCTTTCACTTAATGAAACATCTTCAATGCAAGGCCACTATTGGAGGTAGGATTATGATGGCGTATTGGGAATGATTAGAGTGTGCAAATTGTGGATGATAAATGGTTGTCTCGACCATCCTAGTTGAAGTTGATATCTCCTCCTTTGCTTGCGACAGATGCAAGAGTTAGCTATCTCATTGACACAAATAAAAGATGTTGGAATTCAAAGTTATCATCGGCCCTCTTTTTGGATATGGATGTGAAGACTATCACCCAAATTCTGTTGTGCCCGAAATAGCCTGTGGACACTTCGGTTTTGCTTTATATGAAAGATGGCCGATTTTTAGTATGCTATGCTTACCATTTGCATACAACCATTGATCACACTATGACAAATTGGCCTAGCTGATCGGATGGTGAAGCGGAGTAAAGGCATTTTCAGAAAAGAGTCTGGCATCTCCAAATGCCAAATAAAATGAAAGTATTTGCTTGGAAGGCATGCTCTAATATTCAACCTACTTGAATTGTTCTAAAAGGAAGGAGGATCTCCGTAGATGACAGGTGTGGACTACATGGCAAATCAACTGAGACTATGTTGCATTGCTTTCAGGATTATGGGGTAGCCCAGAAGGTGTGCGATCGAAGCTTGTTAACTTCCGATGTCCGAGCAAGTAATAGCCATGATTTTATGCAAAGGGTAGATGATGTTGCCAACTAAGTGAGTGTTTGGGAAGTTGCTATTTTAGTAGGCTATTTTAGTTTTTGGCTATTTTAGGAGATTAAAATTTTTGTGTTTGAAAAGATAGTTGGATTTTTTTGTAGTTGAATGTGATGTTTGTAAGAAAAAAAAGTGAAATGATTATGGATTTGATGTGACATTTTTGCCTTGTTTGGGAACCATCTTTTTTAGCCAAAAAGTTACTAAATTAGCCAAAAAGTCAACAACTCATACCAAAAAGTCAAAGATTCTTTTTTCTCTCTACTTTTTGCACATCTTTTCGTAAAAAATCAAAAAATCATCCCAAACATACTAGTTTTTTTTAGCTCATATTTTAGCCAAATAGCCAAAAAGTTACTAAATTAGACTGTTCCCAAACGAGGCCTTTGTTTTATTAGCTATTTTAGTCTATTTTGTCTTTTAATGCTATTTTAGCCAAAAAAAAAAGCTTAAAAAAGCTTCTTCCCAAACACCCCCAGTGACAAGAGTCTGCGGCTTTTTTGTGGCGGGTCTTTGGGTGGCCCGGAATCAAGCTGTGTTTCATCAAAAGTCTATGTCTATTGAGGACCTTGTTGGGAATGGTGTCTCTAACTTACTACAAGACTTTCACCAAGCACGCAACTCTTATGGCCACAATCACTCAGGAGGCTGCTGCGATTTGTCAGGTTTTTTCAGAAAGCTTTGTTCTTTCTCATGTTCGACACATGACTTATTAGGAATGGTCTCACTGTGTGGGTGGAGGAAGTTCCGCCGGCCGTGTTTGGTACAGCTTATTATTGTAAATTACAAGTTGATAATCCAAAGCTACCCACCTCTCACCTAACTTTTAGAAATTCAGCATTTTTTTTTTAAATGTATTTAAATTTCTGCCTAAGCAAAAGCTGCAGTAAACAGTCTAATAACCCATAATAATAAATAAAAGCAGTAGCACTATAAGCAGCTCAGATAAGCTGAACCAAACGGCCCGAAGGTTTGTAATCTGTTTTCCCGAAAAAATGAAATTGTAAACTCTAAAAAAAAGTGATTTTGAAGATGGGTTTACATTGGCATTAAAAATCTTGTGGAGGTGAATGAGAATAACCAGAAAAAGATTGGATTTTTGTTTGTTCCTAATTGAATTATAATAATTACGTAAATGATTATACCTGGAAGGCTGGAGTTGGAGTGTGGAAGACGGGTGGACTCGCAGGAGCTCTGAGGGAGAAGATCGTTGTAACTCAACGAGAGAGAGAGAGAGAGAGAGAGTCCTCTGAGTATTCAAAAAATTTAAATAATTTAAAATGTTAATATTTTAAATTTAAAAACAACTCTACGCTCAAATCGTAACCAAACATATAAAATAAAACTCAATTAATAAATTATTTTTAAAACTCATAACAAAACACATAACTTGAAACTCCATACTACTTTCAGAAGTCTACACTGAAATCATAACCAATACATAACAAAAAAATTAAAATATTTAAAACTTTTTTTTTTTGGATGAGCCGTATTTTTGTCATTCTTTTTTTAAAAATTCTCCCTACACACTAATTTATACAATTTTTTAATATACATTTTTCCATAAAAAGTCAAAAAGTTAATCCAAACAATCATATTTTTTTCCTCAATTTTTTAGTCCAAAAAGTCAAAAAGTGTACTTATTTAGGACATCCCAAACAACCCTTTAGCTAGGATTGACCAATAAATTTCCTTTTGTAAACTCATAATCCATATGGTCCTGATTTTATTTTATTTTTTTTGTGATTGTGTGGTCTCTTAATTTGTTTATTGACTATTTTGTCATTATTACACTATGTTTGGAGTGCCTCTACTTACACATCATATTTAGTCTCAAGGCACACCATTGCTCAATTCACACCTTTAATAATTTGAAAAAATATAATTTTTCTCAACACATACCACAACGTTCCACTTTTGCCTTTAGTCTCACACCACTACACACCTCAAATTCAAAAAAAAAAACTTACCACCGGCTGTACACCCACCACCTCATAGATCACCGCTACCCTCCGGTGAACCACCCCCAGCCCTCTTCCCCCTCTGGCAAGACTCGTCTGGCCCTCGTCTCCTTCTGACAGAGATGAGAAGTGTAGTGAACCAAGACCAACGCCTCTCCTCCGCCCAACAAAAAGATAATATATGCCTTTAGAAAGGCCTTCCTCTCTTCTCCACTTGTAATTCTGGCTTGTGTAGAGAATGTGTTTCTGAATTTTTCTCTTCTAAATCTAATCACACACTCTCTCCAATCCATGGTTGCATTAGCGTTATCATCCTCTCTCCACACCTCTAATTCATCAATCTATTGTTCAATCAAACTCAATCCATGTTGTCCCACACCATCACTCCTTACTGCAACAAAAATTTCTCAGAATACTACAAGGAAAAACTCGTCTCGTTCTCGCAAATTGACAGTCTTTGTAGTGACTGAAGGCTCCAGCAAAGAGAAGGAAAAAGAATCAATACCTTCATGGGCTAGACCAGACTCGGACGAGCCTCCTCCTTGGGCTCGAGACGAAGCTTCTCAGAATGCTTCGCAGCAGAGCTTTTAGATCTCCTTCTTCATCTACTTGCTTGCCTCTACTATCACTGCAATTGCCACTGTGAGTTTCCAAACCCAATTCTTTTTTTTTTCCACTCATTTGTGTTTAGTGTTCTGGGTTTTTTTGTTTTTTTGATTGAAATTTATGGGTTTGTGCAGATTGGTTTTGTTTTTGAGTACTTGAATCAAAAATCTGTTTTTGGTGTTTTGAGCTCAGAGTGTCTTTCATGATCTGTTGCTCGGATTCTTTGCAGTGGTGGCTAGGGTTAGGGCTTGGATGTGTATTCAACTATGGTGTGTATTCAGTTGTGTTATTTTGGTCATTTTAAGTAAGGCTATTATTGTCATAAAAATAATCAATTAATGGTGTGCCTTAAGACTAAATGTGGTGTATAAATAGAGGCACCCCTATGTTTGGGAACCTAAGAGGGAAAAGAAAAGAAATGATTACTAAAGTTATAAGCGGAAAAAAAATAAAAAATGAAATAAAAATAATTGTGGTTTCTCTCATTCTTATTTTGATAAGTAATAAACAAAATAAAAGAAATGATTGTAATTTATCTCCTTCTTGTTTGGTTAGATTTCATAAGAGAAAAGAAAAAAAAAACTATTTTATATTATATTACCAAAATAACCTTTTTTATATTTTATCAATCATTTTATTTCTTTTATTTTGATAGGGATAAAATTGGTATTATGAAAATATAAGAATGTGTTGGTTTCTTTTCTCTCCCAATCTCTCCATTTTTTGGAAGATTGAAAATGAGGGTTATAAAATAAATGGGTTTCTCTCCATTTCTCTTCGTTTCTCTGCACTTAAGTTATCCAAACAAATAAAAGAAATACATATCTCTCAATTTCTTTTCTTTTCTCTCCAAATCACTCAATCCAAACATAGTGTTAGTGTTATTGGGTGACAGATGGCATTGTTTTGTATAGGGGAGTGGACTGGGTGTTTGTATGTCACACTGATAGGAAAAGCGCACTAGTAGGTATTTAGATTTAGGATGTTTGTAACACGTGCAGAATGGGCCATTCATCAAGGTGGATGTGTTGATTAGGTTGTGACGTGAACATACACGTAAGTACAGACCATCTTGGGTGAGGATTCACGTGCCGGTTAACCTAAACCCGACCATACCTTCCCCGATCCACGTGGTATAGACAATCCCCCAAATGGAAACAATTTTGACGATGATTGCGACACAGAAACCCTACATTGTTCCGTCTGCCTGTGCTGTGGGTTTTGAAATTCAAATTACTGTGAGTAGATTGCACGTACGTGATTTGTTGGATTGTGAACAAACAGTGTAATATTCAATTTGGTGTAGGTGTGTTGGTTATTGTTATTTCATGTATTGTGAGAAAACCTAACGTGGGCGTGTTATAGGGGTTGTTCGAACTATACTGCAACTCCGTTTATGCCAACCGATAGACGACGTCCTCACCGTCATGGATGTCTGGGAAACGTACGTGTTCTGTGAAATCTATTGTTGTTCGAGTTGTATAATAGTTTTTGTGTAATATAAATTGTTTTCCCATGGCTATTTAGTATAATCGTTTTGTTGCTGTGTGTTTAACATTTGATGTCCATATCGTGGTGGTTTTGGTAATTTGTCATTTAACACGTTGTAGTTGTTGCCTTTGTGGACATAAACTTTTGGTTTTATGTAGGACACAATGGTAAAGGTGGACCATTTTGCTGGGGTTGGTGTTGGGCTGTGTGATGTTGTATGAATTTTGTGGACGTAGTTGTTTGTGTTATTGGTGTGTGGTGGGGATAATGTGTTTTGTTTATGTCGTGTTTGGGTTGGTGGAGGGGAAGAAAATGGATGTATCATCAATAAATCATTTGTTTGTGATTCTAGTAAAGGTCATAGCATATGTAAGGAGGTGAAATTATGGTTTAGTGGATTGTTCTCACAAGTTAGTGGTATGGAAGTCCGAACCGCGTAATAAATTCGTGTGTACGTAAGCAATTGTTTGTTCGGTTGTGTTGATGTAGTGAACGGATTATGTACTTTAGTTTATCAATGGTGGGAGTCGAGCTGTGGTAATCCATGTGGGTTGGTGGTTTTTTTTTTTTAATAATGTAATTATTGTTTAAAAGGTATGATGACAATATGATGTTATGTGCATGCGGAAGTATTTGTTTTGATCCGTAAGTTGTTGCAGATATTGTGGGTGCGTTGAATTTGTATGTAACATGTAGGTAATGGTGTTGACTGTTGTTGGTGTATGTGCCATGATGTCGCTAGCCACACGTTGTTAATGATGATTTGTACCGTGCAAGAGTTTCCCGGAGAGCGTTGTTTGTAATCCATTCTGGTTTGTGGTAATGTTTTGTTTAAAATGTAATTTGCATCCCTTACTTGCATTTGTGGTTTCGTGTTGTGTTCATTGAAAGTGTGAAAGGCGTTCGATGTTCATACATACGTTAACTGTTGCATTTTCACCTTATTAGTTCGCCCTCCTATTGTGCGATGGAGTAATAGTTAACATGTTAGACATTTTTTCCCAATGTAGAGAATTGAGGACTTGATGATGTGTGCATTTCGTTGGATGAGTAAGACGTTGTGACGTTGTGTTTGTTTTTGTGTTACAGGTGTTGGGAGGGCCGGTAGCCCTTGGACGTGATCTTATGAATGTAAACGTAATGAGGCGATATGATTGACCGAGAGAAAGCGTGAAGGTGACACAATTATGTTGTTCAATCAGAATGATGCTGCCAACTATTTTAGGGCTGGTCGTAAACATTCGAAGACCCCCTCAAACATATCAAGCATTGTCAAAATGGTGTATACGGTCAAGCTTCGTGACGTGCACTTTGTTTATCTAAGGAAGACCCCCTTCTGGTTAATGTATGAAGCGATACTGAAAAATCAGCTTGACCACACAAAATTCAGGAAGGGTGATGATTTGGTGGTTAGCATCATAAAGTCTTACAGCATACAGCATCGGATGTTTGTTATTGGTGGTCAACGGGTTCATTTGACCGATAAGGACATTAAGTTGTTGTTTGGCTTGCAATGTGGGAATGCTTTCCTGGATTTGAAGCCAAAACCAAGACCGTCGTCTGATTTCATCCAACGGAGGTGCGAAGGCACGAGTCGCATTACTGCGAAACTTGTGAAGGATATGCTAACTGAAACAGTAGCAGGAGATACACCACGTGATCATGAGGACACAGTGAAACTGTTATGCCTGTACATTTGTAGGAAGTTTTTTTTCGCAACATCTGGAGAGACAATAAGCTGGATGTTTATCCGGTACGTTGAAAATCTGAATGTAATGAGGTTGTATGATTGGACTTAAGCGATACGTAGCGCACTGATGTGTTCTATTAGGGATTTCTATCAGACGCCAAAGAAAGTGACCGAATGTGTGGTTGCGTTGATGGTAAGTATTTTAGTGAATATTTGTTTGGTTATTTACGTTGATGTTGGTCATTAGGAGTTACTGTTTTGCACATGTGTGGCATATTGAGTCAGTGTAACGTGTTTTTGCATTCATTTTTCAGTTTTGGTTTTGCGAGCACATGACCATAGTTAAAGCAAGATCGGAGCACATGTTCCCCAGATTCCTGATGTGGAACGTTAGGGAGTTGGTAGCAAGTACACGAGGGGTGAAACTTTCCCGTCATTTAAATTTTGAGGTATTGTTTGTTTGATTTGTGTGTAGTGTTTGTGTTCATCCCCGTGATGTGGTTCCCACCATCCCC